CGCTGCAAACCCTAAACATAAGTCAAAAAGTTTTAATTCCTTGGGGTATCATTTATCCCAGAACAAATGTAAGGAAAGAGGTGGAAAGACCAGCTGGTAGGATAGCACAGTAACCGTGATGGAAGAAATGATGGTAACCTGCACTGGGATGACTGCTGCGAACTTGGAAGGGAAGTGGGTGAGCTCTGGGTACATTCGAAAGAAAAAGGCAGGATTTTCTGAAAAACCGGACAGAGGTAGGAGAGGAACAGTAGGGACATTAACCTGCCATGAACATAAGCGTGAAGTAGGGCTGGGAGTGGATAACGGTAAGCATATTGGGAGCAGTTTGAGACCTGTTGAAGTCACAGGTGTCAAGGGACATTTGTTTTCATTGAAATTCAAGCAAAGTGTCCGGGGCAGAGGTGTGCATTTGGGAAGAGTGGATGGAAGTAAGGCGTTTACATCACAAGATTAAATATATAAGCTTATATCAGAGGAATGTGTGGCTAAAAAAGCAAGAGTTGCAAGGACAGTGCCCTGGAGCATGCCAGCACTACATCATGGGGAATAAGAAGAGGATGGGAAACAGAGACTGAGGTAGACTACGTGCTCAAGAATGCATGGGTTCTTACTATTATCCAGAATGTATAAATAACTCAAAACAATTAGCCCCCCCAAATATAAAGACCCAGTTCAAAAATGGGCATCTGAAATGAAAAGACATTTCTCGGACCAAGAAGTAAAAACAGCAAGTAAATATATGAAAAAAATGTTCCCGTCACTGGTCATTTGAGAGATGTAGATGAAAACAACACTGAGATTCCACCTCACCCCACAAAGAATGGCTGCTATCAAGAAATCAAACAATAATAAATGTTGGTGAGGTTGTGGGAAGAAAGGAACCCTTCTCCATTGTTGGTGGGAGTGCAGACTGGTGCAACCACTATGGAAATCAATATGGAGATACCTCAGAGAGCTAGGACTAGAGGTTCCATTTGACCCAGCCATCCCTCTGCTGGGTATCTTTCCAAAAGAATTAAAAGGATCATATCACAGAGATATATGCGCTCCTGTGTTTATAGCGGCACAGTGTAATAGCTAAAACTTGGAAACAGCCCATTTGCCCATCAGTTGGAAACTGGATAAAGAAGGTGTGGTTTTTCTGTAAAATGGAATACACACAGCCTAAAGAATGAGAAATTAGATTCATTCATAGGAAAATGGATACATATTGAGGATATACTCCTAAGTGAAATAAGTAAGTCACATGTGTATAAATACCGAATAGTTTCTCTGGTGTGAATAAACTATAGTAGTACATAAGATCCTAATGATATAATGGACAATGTGAAGTAGGAAGAAAGGAGCTAAAGGTGTAGGGAAAGTGGAAAGGTAGGGGAAAGCTAATAAGGGAAAAGAAAAAAATATGAGAAAATGAAGAAATGATAATGAAGTGTTTGTAAAGGTGGAGGAAGGAGGGGTGAAGGGAGGGCAGGGACAAGGGGAAAAAATGAGAACCAAGACCTGTCATGTAAAGGTACAAGATCCCAGTAATGAATGTAACTGTACTGTATCCCTAAAATGTACCAATAAACTCAATGAGGAAAAAGAAAAGAATGCATGGGTTCTTGTTTTACTTGTATTTTTGGTTAGCAATAGTTTATAAATGTGGATATTATTTTCCTACGTTCTTTCTCTGAATTTACATTTCCAGAACAAAATACTCCTAGTTCCACTGCATACACCTAAAAATATGGATGGACTTGTGCATCGTGCATGTGCTACTTGACTTGATATTAAACTTATTAAAGTATTAAAGTAAGTCTATATTCTGAATTAAGGTCTAAACTCGTACTTAATTCAATGTTTTATCAATGGGAAAATAATTTTAATTTCAATTTTTATTATTCATAATTTCTTATGCATTTATATCCTGCAAAGTATTTTTAATCCCATGAAATATTTTCTCTTTCCTGTGGTTCTATCTGATTGTTGACTCAAGTGTTTGGATTGAGTTTAAATGTCAGACCATTAAAAAATAAAGTTTATTTATATTCTTTTAATCTAGATTATTAAATCACACTCATGACTATCCATTTACAAAGCTAAAACTGAAAATATATGATGTGAACAGGTACATGGCATTTATGTGTACTTAAAATTATTTTGTAGGTAGCAATATGTTCGTCCATGCCATATTATTTATTTCTGGACATCCACATTGACTTTAATTATGGAAAATGAATCTTTTATTCTCACTAGGTATGATGCTTGTCATTAAAATACATCACCAGAAAAACTAGTGCCTGTTAAGTAACTAATCTAAACATTTCTTTTCAACATACCCCACATTGGTGACCTAAGAGTGTCTTGGAAGAGGAAGTCCATGGAGAAAGAATGAATGAAAGCATGGTGGACCATGTTAGGAGAGAAGGGAGGCAGACAAACCTATGAACATTGAAAGCAAAAGTAGCCTTGTACAATATATTTAAAAAAAATAGTGTTTTTTTTTGTTTTGTTTTGTTTTTTTTTGCCAGAGTCATTGTGTGGCACGATCCAGGGATGAGAGGATATCTCAAATCCCAAACAGTGGCAGCAGGAGTCTCTAAACCTGGTTCCTTGTTTACTTGCTTCAGAACCTCCTGAAGACTTACTACAATGGTACAGCCTACTGACACACAATCTCTAGACACCGCCAAGTCATCGCATTCTTAAAACTCAAGCCCTGTTCTCCGTGTGTTTTGTCCTGAGCAAATTTTGTACCTGCTCATATTGAGGACCCCCAATCTAGATATATGAAAAGTACACATAAAAAAGAAATCTTGGAAGTACATGCTGTAGAATCAAGTGGAGGGGAGATTCTAAGGGAATTGGTAGAGTAAGAAATATGCAGAAAAGACAATGAAGATAGATAGTACTCATGAATAAAGTAACTGCGAGTTGTCAAGAAAGAATAACAGAAGTAAAGAAAGAAGCTCGTAGAGGAAGTATCAAAAGATCAAGTAGGAGCAAGAACATGAGGGGCCAGAAGAGACATACTCAAAATGAGGAGTCAAATGAGGAGAAAGTCAGCATCCACATAAACTTGAACACTTTCTTTCCAAGGACTGAGCAGTTCGGATCCTGTGGATACCCCTAAGACCACACCAGTAAGCAAACCAGTGACAGATGGGCAGGCTAGAAAAGAGGCCACAGAGCATCTACCAGAAGTGGCTTTCTATGTGAGGTCTATAACCAGAGTTCCTCTCTGCTGCCAGTGCCCTGGGGTACAAATTGTCACCTCCCACACCCAGGGACACATTAATACATTCAGATAATTGTTTTCTTTGCAAAACTGACATTGAGTTTTTTGAGTTATAAAAGACTTCTCCTGGGTAGCTTGAACTTTATAGCCTGAATACCAAGGAATACTTCATGATTTTTATTCTATAGGCTTCAGTCCCAAGCGTACAACAAACTAGAAACAGACAAAAGTCATGCATACGGATTATTTTTTTCTTTTCTCATCTTCTGGATTGTTATTTGTCACATTCCTTAATCTGCATCAAGATATATGATAAATAGTTAAGGTTGTGTTTTTTAAATTCTTCTGACATTTAACAATCTACAAATAAGAACTGAGGGCAAATCCTTATGAGTCATATATTTCTTAGACTTTATTCTGTCACCCTTATTGACTTCCTTTCCTATCTTCTGAATAGCTCAAGCCTCCAAGGACATTCCTTTTAATTTTTTATTTTTTAAAAAATATGCAGTCTTTATTTTGTGGTCAATAGATTATCTTCTTCTTAAAGATGCTGATAATTTCTCCTAAAAGCAGGAGACAGAATGCCTCTCAGATATGTTATTGATTTCTAATTTTTCAAAATAAGAAGCACAATTTGGGGGATTTAAATATTGGAGCTGGTAAATGCAGGGGGAAATACTCAGTAATATTTAGTAAATACTGAGCACCTGCTAGGCTTGTATCTTGGCAAGATTACCAGGTATCATGAAAACTGCTCCTAGAAGCAAGCAAGTGAATGCACCAGCAATTCCCTCCCTCCATCGTCCTCAGTGCTTCCTTGTTTCACTCTTTTTTCTCTACCGAGTCTTCAGGAAATCCCCCTCTATCTTTCCTGATGAAATTGGCCAAAGATTTCCTTTGCTTCATGGAATCCCTTCCCCCATAGCATTCTTGATCTATTTTAGGTAATATTTATGGAAGTCAACTGTTCTTTGATTAATAATCAATTTTAAATGTCTTTACAGGACAGATGGGAAGCCATAAGGAATGAAAAGGGTGGTGATAAAATAACATAATGCATTATTAATGCTGTAAATGTTCTTTTATATGCAATAAAAATAGCCATTTGCCTACCTGGTATTAATTTTTTCTCCCATCTCAACTATTAAAATTCATTCCTTCTCTCACTTGGTCAGTATCATGGAGGAAAATATAGGTAGTAGTTAGTGAATATCTGAATACCTGTACCAAGTGCTGTTTAGGTTATTTTATAAAGATAGAAATGATCGCTCCTCTTCCCCACCTCTTAGAATTGTTTGGATAATTATTCCCAAGGAAAATAGCTAGTAAATGGCAAGAGAGATATTACATTAAGACTGTCTGACAATTTGCTCTCTGTACTGTGCGGCCTCAAGTTCATAATAATATTAGTAATACTTTTGAATGCTAATATTTGATGTGTATAATAATATAGAATCTTCCAAGTGATTGAGCAAAGATTGACTTTTTTTTTACTCTTTTGTTTTTAAATTTTTTTCCTAGGCAAGTGATCTACCAGTGAGCTAAATCCCCAACCCTCAAGACCGGACTTATTTTACCCAACATTAGAAAGCACCTGGGTCTCTTTACTTAAAAACTGTTGGGACATTGTGAAATATACTTACAGCAATTCTTATCTGTTCATTTAGAATTAATGGCATTTGGCATTGTGTTAATCAGTGAGCATTTGATAATAAGGGCTGCAAATTCTTTCTGCCTTTTGTGTAACATGCTGTTATCTGTGTTGTTACAGTACTGGATACCAGTTTATTTACTATTCACCTGAAAATACAGCGAAAGCAAAAGAAGTTCTCAGCAACATTAATCAACTACAACCTCTTATAGCAACCCATGCAGACCTACTACTTAATTCTGCAAGCCAGCATTCTCCAGACAGCTTGAAGAATTCTTTAAAGATGCTTTCGGAAAAGGTAAGATCCAAATGGTCACTACAGTGAGAAAAATGAAATACAAGCCCATTGGTGTTGCTTTCTGCATATATTGCCTTCCATACCACCTGGAAATGTAAAAGAGAATAGGGTAAAAATAACCTTCAGGCCTGGGGATTTAGCTCAGTGGTCCTGGCGCCTGCTTCGCAAGTGCAAGGGCTAGAGTTCGATCCCCGGTACCAAAAAAGAAAGAAAAAAAAAAAAAAAAAGTAACCTTCCACATATTGCCACAGCATCAAATTGAATTGGCCTCGTTCTCCTTTCCAATCTTAGTTAGCATTATTTTTCTTTCTAATCAGAAATAAAACATACACTGGTATATATTTTCTATATTTCTTACCATCTCTCACTTTGATTTGTAGTCTTAGTACATAAATTAAACTTGATTTTTAACTATATTTTCTTCTTGTGATCACCTAAATTTTGCACACATAAAGCTATTGGAGTAGGAGTGCCACTTCATGTGAAAGAATAATTTTGATGCGGATTCATATTAGTGTTTCATTTTTCTTTGTACATAATTATTTAATGGGAAAAGATTCAAAAAATTTTCACAAATTTTTTTTTTTTTTTTTTTTTGGTACTGGGGATTGAACTTGGGTCCTTGCGCTTGGAAGGTAGGCCACCGAACCCCTGAGCTAAATCTCCTGCCCAAATTTTCACAAATATTAATTATTTTTTGAAAATATGGAAGTTAAAGTTACATTTATCCAAGGATGATTTGCATCTGTATCTACAAAGACGAAAGATGACCTGGTATGAAGCAAATACTCAGTACCAATTTCCACAACTGCTTAAGGCCCCTGTATAACAGAGAGAACCAAAGCAGAGAAAAACAAATCATAGCTTGATTTTAAATGTAAAACTATGCATCCTGGACTCCAATGCCAATGTCCCTTTTCCTTTATTTGTGTATTCTAACATCTTGTAATTTATTATGAGACATTTTTAATAAATATACATTTGATAAAAATGACCAAAGTAAACTCTCATAATTCCAGAATAAATCTACAGTGTGGTTCTTTACCATGAGGAACACTTTTGTAGAAACCTGGACATGCCTTGTTCTATAATTTTAACTCAGATGTCTTAATTTGTAATATTACTTGCACTTATGTGATACGTTAGCATAAATTATACATTTTCGTATGAGAATAAAGAAAAATAGCTACTTTCATTAAAAATTAGCTAATATATGAAAGTGAAGTGAATTTAAAAAGGAAAAGATTAAATTGCAGGAAGTTATGAAAATGAAAAATCAAGTAGCTATACTCAAGTCACAGATTCACACAAAGCAAGGGACTCAAGGCCAGGTCTGTACATTAATATACGTATCTGGAATTTGTTTTTTAACATTTAAATTTTTTGTTATTGGAAATATTCCTTGACACTTAGATATTATAATGCAAATATGTCGTTAGGACTAGGAAAAAAAATAAGGAGATTTTTGAGTCAAATAATACATCTTCACTTTGGTCCATTTCTTTTTCGGATTTGTAGATAAAGTGAGTTTTTTCTGGGTTTGCCCAAGCAGAAAATTTTAACAAATAGCACATCACTGCAGTGATTACAGAACAGTATTTATATTCTTCCTGTGCATTGGGCAAGGATTCATCATTTCATACATCATTTACAACTTGCTGCCGCCATTGGGGTGTATTTCTGCTCCTTTAATCCAGCATTGCTCTGACTTTGCCCTGATGTTTTCTACTGAGTAGACAACCTTTGTCTACTAATAAATCTCTTAGCCCTTGAAACTTGGAAGATCTCTTTTAAAGTTAGGTTTGCAAGCCATGCATTCTTTTAAGAGTTCATGCCTGGAATTTCAAAGAATTATCTAAGGTAGTAGTTTTGCATAGTCTGTGGAGACTGCAAGCATCTCGGGGTTTAGAATTAAGTGTAATCCATGAATTTAGCATGAAAGAACTCTTGTAGTGATGTCATAACTTTTAATTTAATGTTAGTAGGCGTTAAATTCTAAAAGCTTTGTATTTTTAAGATTCGGTGTTTTTAAAATTACTACAGATTATAGTTGAAATTTCTTTCTTCATTAATAGTCCCATTTTTAAAAAATAATTTTTATTTGATTTTTACTAATTTTTAATTAAGATATACAGTATGTTCTTATTTAAGATATGCAGTATGATACTATATATCTTATAGGGATGCATAGTAGAAAGTTTACTTAGATGAAATTATTTCTTTTGTTGTGGTGGTGGTTGAGGCAAGAATTTCCAAAATCTGTTCATTTAGCCTGAATCTCAAATATAGAACACTATTCACCCTTCAATGACTAATGATCCAGTTTTGGAACACTGAAAACAGTGGTCATAATAAAATGTTTTATCTTCAAATTCTTGCTCCTTGATTTTTTTAGATATTATATATAATGTTCTTGAAAAAAATTTAATATTTGGCATAAATGGGTTGACATATCCTCTGTATGCGGTTCGTTAGACTCTCAGACTTACTTTTCCTTCATATCTACTACTTTGTACCTTCCTTTGTCCTACATCGTGTTCTGTGCCTATCTGAATAATTCCAACAGAAAAGATAACTAACAGGTCAAACTTTTAAAGCTAGATATAAAAGGTTAGTACTGGAGTGAGATGAAAATGCATCTATCTTTTTCTTAGACTAAAAGTCTGCTGTTGTATGAAAAACATTTGAGGAAAAAATGTAGTGAAAACAAATTCAAACTGAAACAGTAAGAAAAATAAAGTCCTAAATGTCAGTAATATGTAAGTATCCCTCATAGCTCAGAAATATGTGCCATTCCTTTTCAAATGCCCAGCAATTTCTCCATTCCAAAGACAGTGAGAGAGCTTGTTTAGAAAATCACTACTATCCTGCTCATCAGAAGCACTATCGAGCACCTGATTGTGCATCATACTATGTTTGATGCTATGTGGTAAATCCTGCATAGCCATGGCCCTTAACTCTTACAATGAACACTTTAAAACAATAGAACATTTCAAAATATCACACTCATTAAATGGTTAGATGTGAGTATTAGAGTCTATACTCACAGTATATTTAAGAAATCCCAATTCCTAATATCCTTTCAACCTCAGTATACTATACCGCAGCATTCGATTATGTTGAAAAATAGTGGTTTCTCCGGTGTGAGAAACTGAAAGTGTAATAAGGATCAAAATGAATAATTCATAATGTGAAATAGGAAGGAAATAGGTCCAAAGGGGTCGGGAAAGTGGGAGGGGTAGGGGAAAGGAAAGACGGGAAAGGAAAAAATATGAGAAAAGGAAAAAATGGAAAGAAACTTTTTTGTAAACAGGGAGGGTTGAAGGAGTTGAAGGGAGGGCAGGGGAATGGGGAAAAAATAGGAACCAAGATACATCATATAGAGGAACAAGTTCCCAATGATAAATGCAAATGTATTGTATACCTAAAATAGACCAATAAAACATTTAAGGGAAAAAATAATTTCATTCTAAAACAATTAAAGATTTTGTTCAAAAATGTTGGTTTCTGTAATAGCAATGCCAAGAAGCTACAGTGCTAATAATTTGAAGACACATATATTATAGAAGAAAATGTTTATTATGTTGATTACTCAGAATGGATTTCTTTCTGAAAAGAGAACTTAATGAGAAGATGTGTTTATTTGTTTATGATTGATGATAGTATATACTAGGGTCTAGAGGAACTTGGGAATAATAATTTAGAAGAAGATGAAATTTCATGATGATAGCTTATTTTTCTGGCTTTCGCAATCCCCTTTGAGTGGTAAACACTTAATTGAGAAAAACAATAAACACAATTTATATTTATTGGAAAATTGGAGAATAGGAAAAATAAAGATAAGAAAGTATGCTAGTGTTGAAAATGAGGCTTGTATATAAAATGTATGGAATAAGGACTCCTTGCTTTGTCCATGATGGGAAAATATGGGTAGGAAAAAAGCCTTCAACAAAAAGGAAACTGGGCAGATGGTTTTAGACACTGGAGAAATCAGCAATACAGAATGGTAACAGAGCATGGTCCTAAAATTGCCCAGCTCACTTCCTAAGGCACTTTACGTTGGGTAGTACAGGGAGATGTGACCCAAACTATCTGCTCAGATTGAGGGCCAAGGACTAGAATTTTGGAAATCTGAAATATACTTCACAGAGTGCAATATCAGAAAGGAGGGAGCTCCATGCAGAGAGTCTCGGATGTGTAACTGAAAGCCTTTAAAGCTTCGCTTTAATATTGATCCATGTATGTGTAAAAATAAACTCCTAATTACTAGGAGCACAGATGTGTGATATAAGTTAAAACGGTTTGTCTTCCCCCAGAAGAGTGAAAAGACCTTAAAATGCCCAGAGAATTTAGTGGCGTCTGCCAGAGCTAGAGGCCCTGGAGCTAATTTACGTGGGGAAGTCCAGGGGCAGGTGTGGAGGTGGGGCTAAATGAGTCCTGCATGATAAGTTGCTTTTAATCCACAATCTGAGGCTTCAAAACAAGATTTCTAATGATCTCGGTGTAACTTACTTCACATCTAATGATCCAAAGTGACTTACTGCACATCAGAACAGCACATTTTTCTTTAAAAGAATATGATAAAAATCTCACAATTAAGAATATAAAAATCTTTTACTTGGCACTTAGTAAAAGCAAAACAAAACAAAAAACATGGAGCTGGGGATTTAGCTCAGCGGTTCGGTGGCCTGCCTTGCAAGTGCAAGGACCCGAATTCAATCCGCGGTACCAAAAAAAAAAAAACAAAAAACAAAAAAAAACATGCATTGAAGAAGGAAAATATGACCCATAATGGAAAGAAAATCAAGAGCTATCAAGAGACCCAGAAAATCAGAGCTGATTAAATTAGCTGGTAAGGACTTTAAAATAACAGTTTTAAATAAACGCCATATATATTGGAAATTGCTGAAGCACATGAAGTGGGTGAGGAGAAGGAATAAGGAAAGACTTTAAAGAAAACAGTCCAGTAGAACTCAGAAAATGTAAAAACATAATTTCTGAAATAAAAATACAGACACTGGATGGAATTAACAGTAAAGTGATCACTACAGAAGAATAGATAGTGAACATGCACACATAACCTTACAACTATTAGAATGAAGCACAAAAGAAAACACTGACAGGTATGACCAGAACGTGAGTGACTACATTAATATCCTCAGATTGACATATTTTGACTGTAAACATCCAAAGTCTAGAGTAGCACTGGCCAGGAAAATTAAGATTATTTTCCGGATCACATGGATATCTGCAATGGAATATTTGAGTATTTTCTAGCATGCTGTTGTGCAAAACAATATCCTGATGATCCCAAGAGCTTCTAAGAAGCCAGTTAAACATTTCAGTATAGACACAGTAGAAGACCAGCTATTACTGTGTCTGCTTAATATTTTGTGACCTTGTATTTAGCTATATGAAGAAAACCCTGGGTTGGACAGTCTGGGTCACAAGAATTTGCTTCATTATCTTTCTTGCCTTTGGTGGTAAATCAACACAAATGAGATTTAAACAAATGAAGTGGAATCTCTGCATTGTGCATGCTAAAGGGAGAAAATGATTACAAGCACTGTAGAAGATTCCATTGGGTGTGAATAGATATTCTGCTACATAGTAATTATGTAAGTGTTATGGAGTCTGGAGCTCTAGTCACAGGAATTCAGACGTAGGCTGTTTTCTTCTCAAAATAAATCAAAGGAATATTAAACCGATCAACAGAGAAAATAGTTTGGTTAAACTGAGTGGTAGCAAATTCACATCTTAATATTTAAATTAACATTCATCCATGCTATGTGAAAAATTATGTAAATAACATATTTCCATTTTGTATAACTACACTGACTGGCTTGAATACTACCTTGCCAATTTTTCCATAAGAATATTTTATGTCCTCTCCTCTCATTGTAACATGTCATTACAAACGCCGAAGAATACTTCTGTGCCTTTTTAGTATAAGCTGACTTTTTTTTTGTTTAATCCAAACTTTTAAATCTTTTAATATTATTTATTCAGTTTCCACATTTCCGGTTTTCTTACCTTCCAAGTGGCTTCAATATGACTACTGTATTAACAGAGTGTTAAAAATAGACAATAAAATTCAGCAATAGAGATAGTTTCGTGGACAGCTGTGGGCCCTGAAAATAGATGGATGTTCAAAACACATGGGGATTTGGAGTGAGGAGAGGACAGAAACATCTAGAGTGATGGCGGGTGGTGTGGAGTAAAAGGAAAAGCTACTAAATTTGTTAGACAGTGCGAAGTCTGTGCCATTTGTGCTGACCATAAGGAGACTGTGCTGAAACAGATCGCCACACATCTTACTTTTATCTGATGAACACAAAGGTCAACTTCGAACGCCCTTTTGCTTCCAGCTCTAGAACTCTATAATCTATTACAACGAATTAACTTTGCAGCCATTACAAAGTCTTATTAGACATTTATTTTGCACAAAGTTTAACTGGTTTTCTTGAATTGATGACATTCACAACAGAAAGATTTAGAGCTAACTGAATAAGCATCAGTTAAACATGGCACTGTTAACTGCATTTTGAGAATGCACCAAGAAATAATTACCTTGAGTTACTGCAATGGTTAAATCAGCATTCTATCCAAGGGTGCCAAATTAAATGGTGATGATATCAATAATTATTCAAGATAATACCATGTATTAAAGGGTGTCTGCCTAACAGATTGTGAAGTATAATGTGTTGACGGTATGGGTCAATCCTATTTCCCTACTCTTTAAACAGATTATTAGACTACATGCATGTTCAGTGTACTGTAATACAGAATATCAATTACAGCATCTTCCAGTCTATTCCAGGGTGAAGCTATTAAACATTTCATCAGGAAATTGCAGAGTATAGCTGTAAAGTTCTTTATTGTTGCAAAGCCATCATTACTGGAGTACTTACTGGGTTTTCACCACCAGCTTGTAAAATCTACCATGCCAAGTTTCACAAGAATCTCATTAATGTTGAGCGTTACTGAAACTGTTTGGTGGAGGAGACAGTTTGAGGGGTGACAGTAAGGCATAAAAGGCAGTTGTTTTCATTAGAAGACTGCTATGTCATCTCTACTGCTGAGATCTGTCCACAAAGCTAAAAAAAAGTTTTCCTTGCTGTTTGTTTTTAATATGTCTGTTTTACTTTGGCCTTTAATTATATTTAAAATTTTAAAAATGCATAGTCCCATCACATTTTCTTTTAAGATGTATTTGGAATTACTTGAAAGATGCAGCACGTAGGTGCTGTTCAAATGATTATCCCCAGTGAAATTCATCCTCAAAGATAGGAGTTGGAGCTGAAAGAGAGGAGGCCAAGGAGACAGATGGTGTTTATAGTGCATTAAAAAACCTCAGCATTAACTTTAAAACAGGAAGACTCAAGGCCTTGGCGGCATCCCAAAACCAAACCATTTTTCATCAATTGGTATGAATCATTTTCTCTCTTTGGTGCCAGTCCTTTTTCCACCATACATACTACTTAAGTACCAACAAATCTGCAATTGACCTTTCATAGCTCTATACTGAGATGCCTACCAGGGTGTTTCTAATCTTTGTCAATGTCTTTCCAGACAGAGCTTTTTGTGCATGCCTTCAAAGATCAGCTGGTCAGGAGTGCTCTTTTAGCTCTCTACACTGCCAGGCCAGGAGGCATCCTTAAGAAACCACCCTCTCCTAAGAGCAGCGCAGAAGAGAGCCATGCCCAGGACCAACCCCCACCAATAAGAAGGCAGGACTCCATTCCACATCACTCAGACTATGATGAGGAAGAGTGGGTAAGTGTTTTGCACATCACTTGCTTCTCACTGTTTAGCCTTGAGAAATACAGTAAACATGATTAAAAACAAAACAAAAGCAAAGCGAAAGAAAAACACCTTTGCTTTTCATCAAAACTGCAGGAAAGCAGTCATACTACAAATTATGAATAAAGACATCACGCTTTTCCCTAGGGTCAAATTATATGAGGAAGTTGTATTCCCGATCAAATTTATTTGATGCAAAATGAATGTGTTATCAAATAAAGCAGATGTATAACCAAGAGTATCACCAGTGCAAAGATGCCGCAGTTATAAGACCTTATAATACATTTCTTTATTTATTGCCAAGCCAGGTAAAAATATTAAAATTATATTTCAGAAGAATAGTTCAAAATCATGTGTTGCTACTACTTATATGCAACAAGTATTTTCCTTGTTCCAATCCAATGTTTCACTTCTGGGCATACTTTAAAGTATTCATTATAGTAGACCTAAAGCTATCTTAAATCCTTGTTGGGGCTGGGGATTTAGCTCAGTGGTTCGGTGGCCAGCCTTGCATGTGCAAGGACCGGAGTTCAATCCCCGGTACCAAAAAAAAAAACAAACCCAAAAATCCTTCTTGTTGATGATTTTGATCAAATAGAAGATGTTAAGAAGTGATGCAGCTCATAGAACCACCTGAAAAACAATAGTTAGTTAAGGGAAATAAATGTAAGAAGCAAACACAGTGAGAATAGGTCTGAGAAAGCAAGAGGAACGGGAAGGTGTGAGGTGTCAGGGAGGACAGTGTGTTACCTGTCAGTGCATAAAATTATCCAGGATCCCTCCAAAGTGTGTACACACTTACACAAACACACGTGCGCACACACACACACACACACACACACACACGCAGAGAAACATTTTACTGTATTATGTCTTTACAAAACTGTGCGGGTGTATATAAGACGTTAAGCCTTCAAAGATTTTCTTGCCAATGTAGAATTTAAGATTAAGTGAGGAACAAGTTATTTGAGAGGCCCAGGTCTCTGGAAAAAAAAAAAATTGCTATCTGAGGGACTTTCAGGTGACGTTTGCTTTTTCTTTTTGGAAAATTTCTATTACAGGAAAAGTAGAGATGTACTCTAAGAGGTAGACGCTGAATATGTGCTTGTCTTTGCTGATTAAGACTGCATTTCTCCCACTGAAGCATTTTTAAAAGAGAAAATCTAGTATTTCTCCCTTTTACTTTCACCTTCTTCAATTTACTCACAGTTCCAAGGCTCACATACCTCTTAAACTCCTGGAATCTCAGTTTTCTCAACTGGAAAATGAAGACTCCCCCTGTTCTGCTTAGCTTAGGATGGTCAGGAGATCAGTGATTTATTTGGATGGTGAAGCCATTTTGCCTGCACAGGCCAATCAAATTCACTGCATTAGTTCAGCTCATTACACGTTTTCCTTTTTTAAAGTATGTAACTTATATAATCCTATTATGAGAATCCATTCTGTCCCTGCTGAAAAGTGGGTAAAACATATATATGAATTGTGAATTTTAAAAAGTTTGGGAAGAGGAAAGACGTTACGTGTTATTTAATTAACCTTTTGACACATAGTTACCAATTTTATGTTAAATCCAGAGAGGCTTTCGGACCTGGGAATCTTTTGCTTTCATCCCTTGCCTTTTCACTGTCGTATTCAGTCCCTCCGCACGTTCAGTCTCATCTCCGGTCCAGAATTGTCCCTCTCCTTCCTTACCCCCATCTTGCCTTTACTTTCATAGGGAAGACCTTCAGTTTCCCGGAAGTTTCCAAAGGGAAGGTTAATAATGCTGGAGCTCTGAAGCTCCTAGTAATTTAACATACGTTAACATTTCCAGTTAGATGCCTTAGCTGGGTGAAATGGAATTTCTGGTGTTAGCATTTTGAGGAATTTCCATACCAATTCCAGAATGGCTGTACTAGTTTACATTCCCAGCAACAGTGAAACAGCCTCGCCAGCACTTGTTATTGTTTGATTTCTGGATGATACCTGTTCTTTCTGGTTTGTATTTCTCTGTCATGCATACCCACGTTTGTAGCAGCACCATTTATAATTGCGAAATGTTGGAAGCAGCCCATTAACAGTTGAAAGGATAAGAAGTGTGGTATTTATACCCAGTGGAGTACTACTCTGCTATACGGATAAACTTGAGTCATTTGTAGGAAAATGAATATAGCTTGAGAACACAATAGTAAGTGAAATAAATGAGTTCCATAAGTATAAATACCTCATGGTTTTTCTTATATGAAAACCAAAAATGTAAGTGAAAAACACAAAAGAATAGGTAATAGGAAGTAGGAATTCCTCTAATTTTCAAATGAGGAGGGGATCAGGAAATGGAGGGACGTGGAAGGGAGAGGGAAAGGGGGTGAGAAAAGAACCGATTTGAGTTATGCGCATGCTCCAGTTCCCCACAGGAAGTGTTATCATTTGGAATGGACACATCTACTAATAAAAACTGAAAAAATATGTTCGGAGGTCCTTCTAAAATGTTATAACAAGTAAGTACGTAGATGTTCCAAGCCAGCCCTTGCTAGTAAGACTTCAACTCAGAATTTTCAATGCTGAACAGGGAAGAGGGTGGGAAGGTGTCATTAGCTGAGAAGTTTCACAGAAAGCCTTTCCCTTCTGCTGTGCACATGGAGGAGGAAGTCCAGGCCCCAGGACTACACCACCAACGTCAGGCTCTAGAAGGACAAATGATGACTACAGGCATCCATCCAGGTGTACAGGGATGCAGCAGGGATGTGGTACCAGGGTAGGATTTCTGAAAGTAATTCTGGGATTTAAATGTGAGTAAAGTTGACCATTCGGGAAAGGATAAGGAACAAAATAATGACACAATGACATATGTAGAGAGATAGACAGTGTGTGTGAGTACATGTGTTCATGTGATTATTTTTGGTTGTTCGTTTGTTTTGGAGAGTCTAAAAGTTGAGCATGTTTATATCTCTTAGTTCATCAGGAAGACATCAGGATGATTATTGTTGGAGCAAGGCCCTTATAAGAGGAGGAAGACAGCATTCTGTCAGGCTTAGGCAAGAGAATCACAACTTTTAGACCTGGCTGGGTAACTTAATGACTTAAACTCTGTCTTTAAAAAATTGGAGGGGAGGGGAGGAGAGAGGAGGGGAGGGGAGGAAAGGGAGAGAAAAGGTTAGGAAAGAAAAGGTTGGGAGAGGTGGAGGAAGAAGAAGGAGGAAGAAGGAAAAGGGCAGAGAAGGAAGGAGGCAAGGAAAGGAGAAGAGAGGAGAAGAAACAAAAGGAAAAGAAGAGAGGAGAATGTATTCTTGTCCTAGGTATCCTAGGTAGAAGTGTTACCTTCTTCTGGTTCTGCAGGATGGAAGTGAACACAGTTGGGTGATGATGGGTAGGGTGCATGACTACTTTTATTCTAGCTGTAATGGAGAGTCCCATGCAGAAAAAAAGGGAGGGCGATGGGGGTTTCCACTAGGCACAAGAGAAGTGAGAAGATGAGCTCATTGGCAAGGTTTGGAAAAATGAGGATGAATTCCATTCCTGGTGGAGGCTGGCCAAGGTGGAAGTGTCAGATGCATGGTTGTCGGCTCCCCATGGGCACTTCTACGGTAATCTTGACGCTACTCAGCATAAACATATGTGTTCTCACTTTCTCGTGATCATCTGAAGGCAGAAAGAGTAATAATGAAAATCTGCATCTCTTCTGTGTTTCCCCTTTTGTATTGTTTTTCTGAACATCCTCCAGAACCTAGAGTTTCTAGAAAGCCTATATTAAATGGACCACAATTACAGGAAACTCATCTCACTCCCAAGAGTTAATTTTCTCCTCTTAGTATAATTTTTACTTTTTTTCCAAACAATAACTAAGTATGACTACAATATATATTGCTGTTGATTTTCCTTAGCAACTACTTGATAATCCCTTTTATTTAGATAGAAAAAAATCACCAGACTCATCAACAATTCACATTATTTTGGGGGCTTTCTTCAACTTTGATAAACTGAGTAAATCCGAAGAAAACGTAGCTAACTGAGACTGCTATCAAATGCTTTGGAAAAGTAACTTTGTGTATAACTTTTCTTGATTAGTTCTTATAAAAGTTGCAGCACTCATTGCAAGTAAACTTTTGGAAGTCACCAGTGTTTTAAATTAATACAACTGAGTTTCTCCTGATAAATGAAAATGTTTTCTGATTACTTAAATGGATTTAGGCTTACACGTGAGATATTATAGTAGCTCCATTTAAGAAAAAATTTTGTTGCACTTAATTCTTGATAGTGAATATAACAGCTATCAAATTTGTACGAACTGCCCTTAGCTTCTTAACATAAATATTTGCTAAGTGAGTTCACATTTATAAACTAATTTTGAGTCTGCTGATGCATCTGCAACCTTTCTTTTGTGGTCAGGAAAAGAAATCCCTATTGACTCTAAATTGTAGTTAGGCTGCTCTGGCTTGAACTTGCTTTGTTGACAAAATTGATGACATGTTAATCTAGACAGTAACTGTACAATTATGTGGTAGAGATTGAAATTAAATGATCACTTACCAAAAAATGCCTGTTATTTGCTGAATTTTACTTACTAATTGATTGAATAATTTAAAGGTTAATTTTTCTAAAAAGTGAGTAAGCGATTAAATTCCAAAGGAAGTAATGGGATTTTATGACATTCTGTGCCAAGAAATAGACTAGTAAAGCACTCTCTCTCCTTCATCCAGTAAGGATGACATGCTGCATTGCTTTCTTTGCCTCTCCAGAGCAGATGCATCCACCAGCTGGGATTCCAAGGTTAGTTTGTCCAGAATATGAAAGCCTATCATCCACCTACACTGTTGGGTTGACCTAGTTTTTGTGGCTTCCAGTAATTATACTGTTCTCCACAATACTATGATTTAATATCAACATTATTACTTTGATGAATGTGGGGCTAAATTTGCCTTCTCATTCAAAGAAATTGTTGCCAAGCTAAGCTTTTAAGACTTTACATTCTAAACCATTATAACAAAGTGCAGAAC